CCCCCCCCTTCCCTCTCGCAGAGAGTATGCCTCATTCTCGAGAATGCCTCATACATTTCACACGAGACCTCTCGCGGTTTATCTGTACGGTCGAGTACACGTGTCACACGTCACTTCGTACGCCCGTCGACACGACCGTACGCTGTACCTCGTGGCAGGTACGCGGTTAGTAATTTTAGGCATTTAAACATTATCAGTGAAGCTACTTGCATCGATCTACTTCCGGGACCAAGAGGGGACCAAATTGCAAGGATGTGGCTATACGGTTCTATAGAGTTCGTTGGTCTTTCCCGTTTCTTTTTTTTTTATGTTTGCAAGATTATCGAACGAGCCGACGAAATCGGATCGTTCGATCGTTAGCTGATCGGTTAGCCGATCTTGGCCTATTGCGCATTTTTTCACAACTAACACGTCTTGAAATCATCTATATCGCACTATTACAAATTTCATCAATTTACACGGGGGGAGCTCCTCAGGTAAGGCTCGCTTTTCCTGCACCTCTCATTGGAAGCTATTATAAGCCAGGCGGCTTATTGTATGGCCCATTTTTCGCTGTCATTTACGACTGTACCGCATACCGCAATCATAGCTTCCGAACGATTTTACCTAACGTATGATTAGCCAATAGAAATTTGATATGGAATTATCAGGATTTATTATATATATGTATACGCTTGTGTCATGCGTTAATCTACCGGCGGAGATAAATGTATTAGGCAACATCGTTTCACGTTCAGCTAGACAAAGTGGGGTCCATTACATTTACTTACGTCGCAAAAGTTCTTCAGTTCACAAAAGTTCATAATGCATGTGCATATGCGTATTTCAAAAGTGCTCTTTCTTTAAGTATGTGCATATACAGACAAATCCTGTGCCTGTGACAAATCTTTGTGTATATTATTTATGCATATAAGTTTATATGGTTTATAAATAATTACATTATATAAATCAATATAGACGAAGCACAAAAACAGCTTTCAACAAATTGAAATGGATTTCGCGAGCAAAAATTAGGATTTCGCGCTGCTGAAATTTCATTTGTAATTTTCATCTGCCCGATAGATTGCAAGACGGATAAGCACGATATTTAGATAGCATTTTTCCGTTTCGAACATTGGAAATTATTAAGGGAAATCGATATTACTTGCAGACTGCTGAAAAATTTTACACAATTTAAAGTACACTGTCAATTAATGATACTGTCGTCAACAGTTAACAGTTTACAATCTACTTTGAATTGCATATCAAATCGTTTACATTATTTATCTCATTTATTACTCAACAATCAAAATCTATTTAAACGTTCGCTATCGCACTATGTATACATCAAGCTGCAATAATGATTATTTTATCAAGAACAAAACAGCTTTATGACTCATATACCGTAATTGAGAAGGAAAAGATGTGCAGTGTGTTAAGCCTTTTAAATATAGCTTTAAGCGTTCACGAGATAGGGACAGGAGAAAAAGTAATGTGCGATGATCGAGCAAAGTAGCATACACTGAACAAGCGGAACTCGAAAGGACCGTTCACCATCGTTATATATATATCCCGTTAGAATGTATTGTGTACCTGCTGGCGGTAGGCACGAATGTGTAATGTCATGTTAACATCATCATCACTTACGGAAACGGTTTCGTTTCCAGCGTTATTATATATTATTTCCTTACGTTAAAATATTAATTTATTATTTATTCCGTATACCAGTACCATACCGAAAGAGGGGAAAAAAAATTAGAGAGGAGTTTCAGACGATTTCTCGATATACCAGTCAGTTCGCGCGCTGAATCTCGAATATTACACGATACGTTTTTTTAATGCAAGACACCCCTGTAGAGTTTTTTGTAACGCATATAATGCATGCAACTGAGGCCTATTGCGGTGTTAAGCAAGAAATCGATTTGTGGATGCTCTGGCACAATTATCGGCGGATTGTCAATTTAGACACTCGTTAATTAAGCTTCACCCGGCTACTTCACGATCGCTATTACGATCACGTAGAGCGCGCTCGCGCTTTAGCTATTAGCGATTCGGTGAGAAGCGCTCTCGCTACTACTGCTCTTAATTGCGGAGCCTTCCTGTATGTGCGCCGCGTCGAGATCGGACCAATTCTCGTTAAACGTTAAACTTTAGCGTACGATAGCCGAGTAGCGTTTACTATTGACATTGTAAAATACTAGGGACTTGAGAATAATTTTTTTTTATAATAAAATTGTATTGCCATTTTACTTCGAGTTACTTCTGCACTCCGTGTGTATGCGCCAACGCAACATATATCCCTTACGCTGAATTCTCTAGTTCCTAACATTGCGACGATCTCTTTCTCTCTTCCTCTCTCTCTCTCTCTCTCTCTCTCTCTCTCTCTCCCGCGCAGGTTTCGCTCCACAACCACGGCAAACGCGGGGTGAAAGAGAGCCCTCACGGGAACGAGAACGATGACTTTATTATAATAATCGTTCGCATGATCGTTTACTTTTATTTCATAATGTTATCCACACACTGGGGTCACATTGCTCTACTACCCGCTGCATGATCCAAACTAATCGGTAATGTACATTGTCTGAACGGGGGAAGGCAGCCGGCACGGCACGGCACGGCGATCGCGCAGTCACAGGTAAGTGACAACGGTGCATTATGACCGTCTCTGCTTCTACCGCTTTGTAATTAAACGCTCATATATATTTTTTTTTTGTTCGTGACGTTACTCGCATTTGACTCGCGACGAAGTCGCGACCGGAGTGGAAGAGGAGATCGCACGGCGACGGCACACTCGACGGCGTTTTCGCATCGCTCGTGACGAAAGAACTCTTCCGCTCACGCGATGATGACGAATAACGCCACGGGGGAAACCATGCCATTTGTCGTTGAAGTACGAAATGATTCTTTTTGCGATTCAGATTGTTTCAATGATATATTATTTACACGAGACCGTGCTGATTGTCGCACATCGAATCGCGCAACAACGTAAGAGATCTCCTTTTCTTCCCTTTTCTTCGTAGACCATCGCAGCAGTAACTTACACAACTTCTCTCTTTTTTTGCAAGTGGATTATTTTCCTTGTAAAAAGAATCAACGATTCGAACGCCCAACATTTTGCGAAAGTTCAAAGTATAAATAGTTGACTGACCGCTACAGCTTCGAGGCAGCAGACGATTCATCGCTTTATTTGCTTCGAGGAATCCTTCAGGAAGATTTAACCACCAGGAGGTCACACCTCGGGGAGAATAATCGCGCACGTTCCCTTGGAAGTGAAATAGGTGGTATAATTATCATTTCTCCATCGCGGTATCTCCATACGATCATAATCATCATGCTTGTTCTTTCTCTCACAATTTTCCACATAATATATCTTCTCTTAATGTTTAGAGTGAAATATCTAATCTAACGTTGCTGGAAGAGTTAAAGCTTCGTATGCAAGATGATTTTACAATTGACAATATAGAGGTAATACTAGAAATCGCTACAAAAAGAGATTAAATCAATACGTATGGAAGTAATTTATAAGCATTCACAGCAATCTCTCGTTGTCGATCACTTAGATTTGAGAATCTCATTTGTAAAATCTTTTATTTTTATTCTTGATACGAAAGTCAGTTCCATCTTACCGGCAATCTTATCGTATTTGTATTATGTGATATGTAAGATAAAGCATGTAACTTTCTGATTATTTATATTTGATAGTGGAATGATCGAAATTCTCTGTCTTGTCTTAGATAATTTAATTCAGTAACCCGTAAGATAATTATGGTGTATTATTAAATTTTTTTGTATATACTTTATAATAATTTTTATATAACTTTGAATCATTCCATTTATAATAGAGGTAATTAGGATTGTCAAGTTACTTAATTCAGCCTTATGTATAAAAGTAAGTACTTTCTCAGCCGTATAACGGAATTCAATTTTAACCAATCTTTTTTTCCTATTGCCAATGTTTTAGGATATAATGGAGGATATATTTCTGTGCAACGGCAACTGCGGCATATGTCACGACTCAGACGAGGAGGATGATTCTAGTCCCACGAATTCGTCGGTGCCGCCGAGTCCGCCTTTACCGCCTAGGAGACCTTCGCCCTCGCCCACACCGACCAATTATCTCAGGAATGGACGTCATCTGACAGTACCGAAGGAAAATGCTCCGCCGCCGCCGTCAGCGGTCACAGTGATATTGAACTATACTGACAACACTCAGCAAAATAATAAAGGTACGGAGGATAATTTTTAACGTATTTGTGCGTATCGCATAATGCAACGGATCATAAAAATACATACATACAGATATAAGCGATGTATTCATCTCAAGTAATATTATTGTGATAAAATTCCGTTTTTTTTATTTTTTACAAAATCAAAGTACCTTTCTTAACGAACGAAAGCTTTGCTAAATGATCACTTCAATTTATAATATAATATTCAATATTAACATTATATCCTGATTTTTTTTTTAGAAAGTAATAATGTAAACTATTATGGCAATATGTCCGTTTTTGTTTTTTGAGAATTGTATACGGAGAGAATTTCCTTTTAAAATTTACCCTGAAAATCATGTTAATCGTGGGACAACATAGTATTTCGATAAATTTTACTATGCATTACAATAAATTTGTTGTAGTATATATTAAAAAAAATAATAACAATCACATAAAATTCGTCGAAATACTATGTTGTCCTACGGTTAACATGATTTTTAGGATAAATTTTAAAATAAAATTCATAGAGATAAGTACAGTATTGCAGTTTGTTGCAATATACGCACAAATCGCACAACATGTTCGGAAAGTAAAAACGTTCGGTGCTTGCAGTTAACACGGAGGCGAGATACGACATGCTGCACCGCGCATCCTCGCCGATACTGCCCGTGCCGCCGATACCGTCCGTGCCGCCGATTCCGCCCGCGCCGACGGTAGTCACGAGGGTTCATCCGCGGCGGTCCCACGGGAATCACGCGGGCGGCACGCCGCAGCGGCAACCGCAGCCACCGCCGACGTTGCCGGAGAAGGCGTGTCGCACCACCGCGGCCAGTTCGACGACGGGTCAGACCCCCGGCGGGGGTCCGAGCGCCAATGTGCCGCCGGTACCGCCGCCCTTGACGGCGCCACGGCCGCCGAAGGCTAGCAAGGAGGGTGGCACCCGTCAGGATCATCATTACGAGAACACGATCGTGATCTGCGGCACGAATCAGCACGTCGTGAAGAACATCAACCTGGAGGGCGCGAACAGGGCGCGCCTCACGGCGCTGATGAGGGCGCGGGATGACCCGGGCGGCGGTGGCGGTGGCAGCGGCGGACCGGTGACCGGCAAGCCGGAGTCGGCGGCGTACGAGAATGTCAATGTCGAGCATATCACGAGGCTGACGGCGCTCGGTTTCGCCCAGGACGCCGTGATCAGGGCGCTCGGCATCACCAGGAACGATCTCGAGATGGCGTGCGACATATTGCACGAATTCGCCACGAAGTCCTCCTGACCAGGTACAAATAAACGGCATCAGTCGCAACGAATGTCTTGGCGAATACGAAGCGCTATGAACGGCATACGTTCAAGCCGTGAAGAGTGAGTTTCTCAGAGAAGTACTTTTCCCTTTCGGGTTCTCCAGAGTATCGTAACTCGGTTTACGCTGAACACAGCAGCCCTACTTCGCTTGGGTGATGCGAATAGCCCGAAATAAATTCGTTTCTATCGGTGTCGTCTCTCGCGCTTCGTGTGTCATCACGCATCTAAATTATCAGATTGTTGATTACATGATCGAAAAACGATTACAGTTTAAGAGAATACATTTTGATTGATCTGATCGCAGGGCTGAACACCGAGGTCTGACCGGCCTTACCTGCCAGACGGTACTTTTGACAGGGAACACGCGCGAACTCCTGCAAGGAGTCCTCTCACCTCTGATGCGTTCGCAGATACACCGCGCGTTTTCATCGAGCGTCTCCTCACGTTAGTGCGATGTCGGCGGCGTACCGTGTTACGTGTCAAACCGAGCGGGAGAGAAAACACAACGCTCGCGAGCGGGCGGTGAGCGTTGAAAAAGTCACCGGGAGAACCGGACCGGAGTAATTCCGACGAGGGGAGCATCCTCTGAAGCATCCTCGAGAGCACTGTTTTCATGGATCTTTACGCGTTTATCTTCCGAGGGCAGGCCTTTAACCGGAGGTACCAGACGTTCTCGGTTTCCCGACGCGCAGGAAGAAAAGACTGTGTTCGCGCCCTCACGTGATTTCGCGCGCGCGTGCGGGCGCGCGAGCGGCGAGATGTAAATAGAGGCCGACGACCGACCAAAGACAAACTTGCGGCTGCCGAAGTATTTTCCTCACGAGAAAACCTACGTGTGTAGCGCATGAGCAGACTAGCGTGTCCCGTTACTTTTCTCCTCATAGTAATCTCTCTCCTGGGCGTAGTTACCACTTCGTTCCTCGATATACTTAAGATAAGAATTAATTGTACATTTTTTGCGCGCAAAGAGAGATTTTCGCTTTCACGTAACGCCCGGGAAGCGCCCCTCGAGAGAGAGAGAGAGAGAGAGAGAGAGAGTCTTCGGTCGCTCGTTTTCCACATTTTGTATTATATAGCGTGTATACCTCACGACACAACGAACGCGCGCGGTCCGACGTCGCGTTGTTCCGGGATCGAAAAAAAAAAAAACGTGTTTTAGAGATTACGCATAATTCAACTTCGAAGGCAATACAATGTTCTATCCGTTTAACCGAGCGTATAACGAGCATATACATACATCATATTTAAGATACAATTCTACATAGAGCATCGGTTCGCTAGATCATTTCGCTATATAAATGTATAATGATAGTACTGACCGAAAGTACGTTAGACGAAAAATGCCTGGCATCTAATTTTGTAATCCCTAAAGTCTATACCGTTCCCTCATCAAATTAAAAAAGTAGTTATATATATATATATATGTATATCGCTATTTAATGTATATTATGTATAATGTCCTCCACACACGTTAGCGCTGCGTGATTGATGCACGCACGCAAGATACCTCGGTGAGGATAAAATCGATAAGATAACAGTTTCAAGTGTATAAAAATTGTTAATTCGCATTCGTGATTTCTGATCCTAGCTGAGAGAGAAACTACGCCGAGGCACGTTAGCCTTAGAGAGTAATGCGCACAAGACTTGCGACCTCCTAGAATCCGGATCTACGCGGAGCTTTTCATTTTTTCGACTCGCAGACACGCGCTTACGGCAAAAAAAAAAAAAATTACGCGTATCCACCGTATGTGATACTTACATCGGCTCCTCGCCGCGCACTGGGGGTATGTCGATGTATAGGGAGAGGAGAGGAATGAAAGTCGGAATCGAATTTCGAGAACGCGGAGAAGCGACGTTATGTCAAAAGTTCACGAGCTCTCCGACGACCTCGAGATGAAGACGCACCCGCGCGCGACTCGATCGGGGAAGTTACGGATTTAAGATCCTATATACATTGCGGATTATAATGGAGAAAATACTCGAAAAAAAAAAAAGAACAAGTTTCGATAGTGTTCAGGCGACAGTTAATGACGAGGCGTACTTGGCGATGACGAAGTGGAAATTTATTGTAGGTACGCCGTATCGAGATACACCAAGCGTATCGCTTTATGTTAATTTACACCTTTGCGGTAGATGCTCAAGCGTAATGCATAATCGTTTTGTTCCGCGGCAAGGGGCAGATCTGAAATCGGCGAGATAAGAATACGACGGAGTGGAAGAACGACGGTCCTGCCGCGCGGTTTTGCTTGCAAAAACGATTGTTCGTCGTGACGACAGGGAGGCGTGCTTGCGGATCAGTTCTACGGAAACGATGATGCGATCCGTCCCGCGTCGTCTGTTGTGCGCGACGATTGCACGGCGAAACGTTATAATTACTACCTCGCGATTATACCAAAGGTATACGATGTGATCGTCCGAGCGATATGAAGAACGTTATATCAGGTGCGTTGCTCGTTTAAGCGCGTTCAACGATTCTTCTGACGTGATTCGCACACACACAACACACAGATACACACAGCAGACAGATGGACACGTACATACAGACAAGGCGAAGCATCGTGTAGTATAATATATATATTTAGATACGATATTCATGCTCCCGTTGAATTTCTTCCTTATCGCGGAGACAGACGTCTCGTTGGAGCGTCGCGCTGTTACGTAAAAGCGGACACAATTCATCCTGCAAAACTGACGAGTGACGAAATTTACCCGTGCGATCCCACGCGATGTTGAGAACCGATGCACCCGATAGTAATTTTATTCGCTTCCTATTATGCACTTAATCGCATCCAGCCGCAGTATCGCCTCCACCTCTCCCTCCCACTTTCTGAGGAGAATTTTTAGCCTTCATACTTCGGATTCGACGCGGGTGCATCTGGTGGAAATTAGGTGTCATATTTTTCTACATTGTATATTCCGGTCGTTGTGTACTAATGGCATAATGTACCGAGTGTGTGTGCGCGCGCGCGTGAGAAGCGCCCGAGGTACGTGCCGAGATGCCTCGGAAAAAAAACAACGGGATGAAGTTTCCAACACTTTTGCGCTTCTCGTCGCGCGCACGGTTCGAGGATTTGACGGAAATGAATATGCGGAGTAACGTTAATCGACACGACACGCAAATCGAAGATAAGACGTAACGAACGTAGATTGACTCCTTCTTCGTTTTAATTATTCGCTGTAAAAAAAATTGTTTTACATACTTCTCGAAATAAAATAACATGTCGTTTATAACACGCGCGTTATTTCATTCGCGAGATTGTTTTTACAGGCAAATCGCTCAATACATTCTATTCCAATATAAAATGTGTGTTCAGTATGCAACAAGAAGTAAACACTTTGCAACTTGGCACAAAAATAAAATTTATTGTATACACAGTGTAAGTTTGTCATCGCCAACAAACGATATTTGACTTGTTGTTTATTATTTAAAATATCGAACCCCTTGAAAGTAACTTTATATTTTGTACTAATATCTTGGAAAACGATTCCGAGTTACACAACGACAGATAACTCTACCCTCATTATATTTATTTATCTCTTTATCAGTGATTGAAGATATCAAGTCGTAAATAGCATCCGAAAAATAACACGATCCCATGATAACATTATTCTTAATTTATACTTTTTCCTCTTCGACAATCAATGCTTGACTTATTACTCACCGTTTAAAACCTCGAAAAACCGTGAGAGTAAAAAAATACATTTTGTGTTATATCTTGGAAAACGATTCCGGAATTACAACGACGATAACTCTACCCGCATTCTGTTGTATCTTTCTATCTCTTCGTCAGTGACTGAGGGTACCAAGTTGCAAATAGCATCCGACAAATGGCGCAATTCCACGATAACGTTATCCTTAATTACACCCTCCTCTTCGACGGAGTGACTGTTATCGGTTCTCTCAGTTTCCTGATGCTTCGCAAGCACGTCGCGTACGGCGTTGAGCCACGCGTTGGAAGAGACCGAGTACAGGTCCGCGCCGGTGACGTTGTCCGGCAATCGATCCACGACCTGTTCCAACTCCCGCCCGTCTTCACGGAACTCGAATTTACGTGTCTGCGCCTTCAACACGCTGAGCTTGGAGGCGCGGTCGGAGTGGATGCCGACGTAGAGCATCTTGTCGAATCTTCCCGGTCGGAGCAGCGCGGGATCTATGAGGTCGGGCCTGTTCGTGGCCCCTATGATGAATATGCTGCCGGACTCCTCGAGGCCGTCCATCTCAGCGAGTAACTGGGAAACTATGCGGTCCATCACGCCGCCGCTGTCCCCGGCTCTACCCCGATTGGGCGCCAACGAGTCCAGCTCGTCGAAAAAGATGATGCAAGGGGCCGCGGAGCGCGCGCTCTCGAAAACTGCGGGACAACGAAAGTGGCTCGTTACTTTACAATTACTATAATAATAATTTTATTTATTAATTCTAGTAATAATAAATAGAATTATAATAACAATTCGAATAATTCTTTTTTTCATTACAGCTTTCTCGTATTTCCTTTAAGAAACTTACTCTGTCGGACGTTCTCCTCGCTCTGACCGACGTACATATTTAACAGCTCCGGGCCTTTGATCGACAAAAAGCTCATCTGATATTCCGTCGCGACCGCTTTAGCGAGAAGAGTCTTCCCAGTGCCGGGCGGGCCATATAATAGCAATCCGGATTGTCCAAATCCGAAAGCATTCAACAAAGGCAACTGGATTCTGCGAATAATCTCGTGTTTCAATTCCGCCAAACCACCTATGTCCTCCCAGTGGACTTCTGCCACGTGTGGAGCGCCTTTACTGTCGGAGTACATGGACTGCATATATTCTGAAAATACATTTCTGTTATGCTGTTCGCAGCGAGAAGCGAAATGTTGTCACTTCCAACTTTAGCAGGACCAAAATTCTGATCTACATAGAGAAGAGATAAATTAAACATAATTCAAGAAGAGCTCAGAATTTAGCACATTTTTTAACGTTTACATTATCTAAAAGAATAGTTGGGCATTTTTAAGATCTTGCTAAAATCGATTGTGAGATAATTGTAAGCACATACCGTAAGCTCGATCGAAATCTTCTTGTTCCAGATTAAGCGTGCACCTCTTATCGGGCGGTGTCAATTCACACCGAAATTTGACTGCGTGCAGGGACAACGCTAGCAGATCCGCGAATTTAAAATCCGAGCAAAGAGCAGCTACTTTCGACAGGTCAGCGGTAGCCGTTAGATTCCTGGTGGACAGCAGCCAAGATATCAGCTCCGCTCGTTTCTCCTGATCTAAATGCTTCACGCGAATTGTCTCAACGAAAATCCGCTGCAGTTCCGCGGGTAGGTCAGTCTCGTCCGACGAAGCTACGACAATCAGAGGAAATTCGTAGCGCTTGTTGCTCAGCCGAGCGACCGCCGCCGCGAAGTCGGAAATGGCCCTCTCGTCCTTTTGGCCCTCGAGAGTTTTACCGAATGTCTGCGAAAACGCGCCGTTTAACTCGCAAAATCGGAAAATACAGGATGTTATAACTCAACGCGACATTACTCTTTTCAACGTACTTGGATATTATTTATATACAGTAAGCATGGCGTGCATGATTCCGCAGTTTCCAGCATACTGCGCAGCATAAGTTCGGTTTTCATCGATGCAAAAGTCGCCATAACGTCAGTATTGAGGAACAGCAAGCCCATTCTCTTGGCTGCTGTTTCAACTAATTCGGATTTACCGCAACCCTCCGGCCCTTTCACAAGGAATACCGGCTTTACGTTCAATCGAATGTCTTTAAGGCCTAACAAATAAGGAGCGTATGTTAACAATGTGATTATACATATACATATGTACAGAGAGTACTCGAGAATATTATTGTAATCTCCGTAAGTGGAGAAAAGAAATTTATATAGCGTAAGCGGATGCAAAAATTGTTTACCTTTTTTTAAAAACGGCTTAATGCAAGATTCCAGATGTTCCAAGGGTTCCATTAGAGCTGACGGATATCTGTAACTTGGCGCCGCTCTGTCTCGCGGTAGAAACACACCGTCGGGAAACGAGTGAACGCGTTCCCGAGGGAGGTAATCGGTAGTTGATGTTACCTCAAAGAGCGCCGACTCACCACGAACGACGTAACAATTTCCAACGTTGCTGCTCTGCCCGGAGCGATTCACTTTTAGGGCTTTAACTACAATACATATCGCGGAACCGGAGTAAATGTGATCGTGAGCGTGTTCCTTCAAGTCGATCCTAAGTACGTCGTTCACGTGCAAAAATCGGGGATGTAGGAAGTAATTTTGTAACGTCTCGTTCAGCATTATGTATTTGTGGCTGCCCATTACGGATACTCTCGCCTCGCTTGCAAACTCGATCACGTTGTTTTTCAATGGTACTAAAAACAGATCGTAATTTAATCGTTAATTCGACTCACGAGCGCTCGACGATTCATCGCTGATTGATTACGACGTGAGAATCGTAGAAAAATGTAGTTATTAACAAACAGGTCTGTTTAATTATTATAGCTAAACGAGCGTACATCCTTTGTACTCAAAGTGAAATAAATATAGGTATATTGCTGTACGGAGAGAATTTTATTTTAAAATTACCCTGAAAATCATGTTAATCATAAGACAACATAGCATTTCGACAAATTTTGTGATTTTCACTATTTTTTAAAATATGTACTACAAAAAATTTATTGTAGTGCACAATAAAAAAACAGAGAAAATCACATAAAATTTGCCAAAGTGCTATGTTGTTCCACGATTAACATGATTTTCAGGGTAAAAGGAAATTCTCTCCGTGATTATAGTTATACAAATATAGAGTGATATACATATATTTGAAATTTAGTGAAAATGAGAAAGAAAATTTTAGTACAAAAATGCAGTAATAAAAAAAACAAATCTGGCGTTAATTGCCGAATTCCTTCGTTTCTACGATATAAAATTTGCATTATTAAGACAATTTTACTATTAATTTATATTTCATTATTAAGGTAAATTTTACTAAAACTATAGCATGCGTAACGTAAACTATAGCTTTTTAGTAAAATTTTCTTCGAAAGCAACGTTTTCGAATGGAACCCTTAATCCACATCTCAATAAAATATTACATAATATATTTAAATTATTTAAAATTATCCTGCAAAGTATATTTATTATTTTAAACTATTATTTTATTAATTATATTTACAGAATTAAAAATGTAATTTTTTATGCATTTTTATTCAGTTTGGTAGCGTCAAAGGTGCGTAAAAAAATGCGAATAGTAATTTAAAATTTAAATTAGAAATAAAAATTCGAATGATCGAATATAAGGGCTACATTCAAGGCAGTTAGTAGTAAAATTCATCAAAGCGGAGCCGAAACGTTCGTTGGATTTTGAATTAAAGACAATTTTATACTAGATTATCGTTGATATGGATTTTAAATTAAAGACAATTTTATATTAGAAAAATCGCGCGATACTAACTGCGTTGAAATCCTTTAATAATTTGAATTTTTAATTTATGTAAGAAGGTCTTAATTATATTATTTTTCTTTCTTTTAAATTAGGAAGGTTTCTGGTGAGTTAAAAATATATTATACTTACGTATGAAACATGAACTGTCCAATTGTTCGCACCGAAGTGCGTTTCGCAGATTGTGCTCCATTGTTTCAGATATTAGGACGGTGTTCTCGTCGACATCCGGCACGAATAGAATCAGTAATTTATATTTCATCATTGACACCGTCGAGCATACATTGAACCAGGCAGCGGAACTTGACGATTTCTCCGGGAACTGTATGTTCGCGATTGCACAAGATTCACAATCGACGTATTCGTTCTGCGTTACTTCGAGATCCTCCGCCATACGTCTTAAAGCCGCGTCCGACAATGTGACCCATTTGAGATTTTGCGTGAACAATTTTTGATATCTACGATGCAGATACTCCAGAAAAATGGAGCTCAGCACGTAATGCGGATTTTTCCGCATCGACGTATTCGTTATTCCCCTTACGAGTCTTTTATAATACAAAAGCGCCGAGAGCATCTCACGCGCTTTATACATGGTTTGTAATTTATACACAGGAATTGTGCAAACTGTCTAGATTTATTGGCAAACGTATCGGTCCTGAAGTTAGAAAAAAACAGACGACTATATAACTATTTTTTTCCAACAATTGTCATTGTTAGAATTATGCTAATGTTAAATGAAAATGTATAATATGTATTATATTTATTATTTTTTTAATTATTGCCATACGCGTGTAAGATTTCTTAGAATTTTTTATTATTTTACTTGTTTTTATATCTTTATTATCTTATCTTAGTTTTCTCTCAGTGTCAAAGACACGTTAGATTTATCAAATAAAAATCGATCAATCCTTGCTAAAAAAAAGCAATTGTTAACATTTTTTCACTTTTAAACTTTCTTTTCGAAAGTTTTTATCTTTTTAATCAAGAATATTCCCGTAATCGAAATAATTTCTCGATGGCAATTAATGAATGCAATAATTCGAATTTTAAATAGTTCTTCCAATTCGGGCGTCTTTCGAAATTTAAAGTTCTTCGAATTTGGGCGATTTTTAAATTTTAAAGTTCCTTCGAATAATTCGAATCCGAAGCAATATATCGTTCGATAAGATGTCAACTTTGCGAGAGTTGTGCGATTCGAGTTACATATATTTATCATTCCTCTATAATGAAACTTTTTTTTAAATCTACCTTTATATTATTATTATTATAATTTTACAATGTATTATAATATAAAGATTATATAAATATAGTGTATATTTTTCTTAAAAAAAAAGTTACGTTGCGCAAGCGTGGCACGCTAAATGCTCATCTTTTCTGTCTCTATTCATCTCCGCTCCCACACCGTCATTGGTACGTTACAAATCATTCAAAATGGCGACCTTTCAAAAAGTCCCATATCCGCCCCGCAGACCGCGATCCTCAAAACCGTCATGTAACGATCGATATTGGAGGTTACGTTTAAACGCGTCGAGAGTAGGTAAGAGAGACAGAGAAAGACAGCGAGCGAGCGAGAGAGAGAGAGAAAAGAGAGTCGAAAGTAGAGATCGAAACCGACGAAAAACCGAAATGGTATGAGAAATTACCGTCGGACTCGGAATTCGCATTGACCCGCGAATGCGGAACGGCGCGTTTCACGTGCGCCGCGGTCGAACGAGCGACCGCCGAAAACGACGTGAAATCGCGAGAGGAATCGCCGAAGCGCGAAATCGCGACCAACCGCAACGATCGCACGTCGGCACGATCCCTGCGTGGTGTCTCGTCCCGTAAGCTCGTCCCGCTTGCTCCGGTTGAGAGTCACTGACGTACCCAATTTCGGCCCCGCCGGTCTCCAACCCGAGTTTACTGTAGGAACAGTAGCGCGCAGGAGACCCATCCTCGGTGGATCATCATGCGAGGGTCCCCCCTCGTCGGACGGCCGTGCTATCGGTAAATTTCGTACGCGCGATCAGCGGCTGCAGCGGTGCGGCGCGCGCGACGACGGTGTTCGTCGATCGTCGCGACCAACTGCTGATCCGGGCTCATCCGGCTCTCGCGCTCACGCTGCCCTGCGAGGAGAGCGCGCAAGCCCGATCCCGCGGCATCGCGACGAGAGACAGTCTCCGCCACTTGCCGGCGCGAGAGACTAGAGTGGCAAGGCGAGGCGAGGCGACGCGCTGGGCCGCCGCGGGGGTAACGCTGGGGTAAAGGACGCGAGGCGCGGCGCGACGGGACGAGACGAGACGAGACGAGACGGGACGGGAGGCGAAGCGTCTCGAGCGCATCGTCGAGAGCCGTCGAGAGTGTACCTATTGTAACCGAGGACAGTTAAAACCGTTGGTGGCGCGCCCTCCCCCGGACCTCCTCCCCACCCCTCTCCGACGTCCCACTGTCGTTTGAGCCGTTAAAGCGCGAACCTAACCTGATCCGTGTAGCCCGATAGCGTCCTTATTGGAGTTTTCGGGGCCAGAGGCTTTCGTTTCGAATTTAAAGGTCCGGGGGGCCACGGATCGCGGCGTGGAGTGTGTTATGCCAAGCTGTGGTGTGCCTGTGGTAAGCGAGAGTGTGCACGCGTCTCCCCGACTCCGCGCGTCGTGCACGGGGAAGCTACAATTTCCCGCGGCCACGGCGTTGTTCCACGGCGGTCTGTCGTTCCATCCCCCCGTGTTACACATGTCGTCGTCGTCGTCGTCGTCGTCGGCCGTCAACATGAGTGTCGTGCGCCGCGCTGCGACTCTCGGCGGGATCGTCGAGCGCGTCCGGCGTGATAATTCTCAGCGTGGAAGTAAATAATAGTCTCGTTGCGCGCCCACCGTCTCCCACGTAATCGCGTATATTTTTTCCTCCCCCTCGGTATTTCCATCGACAGTTCCGTAAAGTGTTTACATTTTTGTACGTGTATAATTGTACGATCAGTCGGGATGCCGCCGAATATACAGCTCTGGTACTGTCTGCGATAATTGCGGAACTTTTTGTTGTTTTGTCAGCGTATAAGGAACTGAGGGACAAACTCTCTGAGCGGCAACTCTAAAGGCATCCCCCCCCGGAGAGATGGATCCCGCGACGGTGATAGCTCTCTGCAAGGAGAACATCCAGCCGTTGAGGTACGGGCGGAATGCCACTCAATTGGGAACCGCACTGAGGGCGCAGGAGGACGCGGATGCACAGCAGCTGTTGCTGCAGGAGAAGCAGTGAGTGTCCCTAAACCTGCAGCTTCAAAGACTGCATACAGCTGTAATTCTATTGTAAATTAATGTCTGAGATGTTTTATAAAACTTCTCGGTTGAAAAGGATTCAGTACCAGTCAAAACATATCGTATTATTGTTCCTCTTAAGAGTAAATAAGTACATTATGTTTACAATATATTTTCATGCATGCTCTTCATATGCACTATTTGACTCTTGTATTCCTTTCTATTGCTTTGCAAGAATCAAGCTTGTTTTTATTGATAAATTAGTTTTATCTAAGTTTACATAATATATCTGTAACATAGACATAGATCTAGAATATCCATGAAAGAACTGCCTATAGCTAATCAACAAGATTGTAAAATTTATTTGACAAGTGTAATATTAGTCTTACACATAAGAAATGTATCTTGTGAAGTAAAAAAATTGTTACATAAAATATGTATAATATATATAAAAAAATAAATATACTTTTACTTAGAATGTACGAGGATGCAATTAAGAATTACGAAGGAGAAGATCCTTTAGAGAATTGGTATGAATACATTCTCTGGGTGGAACAGAGTTACCCGAAAAGTGGACACGAATCCCACATTGGGAGACTCTTGCAGCAGTGTTTAGCGATATTTGAAAAGGATTTGAAGTATCATCAAGATCGTAGATACATACGTTTGTGGATTAATTATGTGAGTAATGTCTTATACAAGTACATTATACAGTTTCCTGATTATATATATATATATATGTATATATAATAATAAGACTTGGTTTTTCTTTTAGATAAGTATGCAAAAGAATCCTTTGGAGCTGTACCAGCTGTTGCACAGTAATGGTATTGGAACTAGAGTAGCGGACATGTACAGGGCCTGGGCTTTCGAATTAGAGCAAATTGAGGACGACAAACGCGCGGATGAAGTTTACTTGATGGGACTATCTGTTCATGCGGAACCATACGAGGAATTAAGCCACGCTCACCAGTACGAGTTGCTGCTTCTCATATAAACGAAATATCTTAAATAGGAATCAATTGATTTGCTAGTTATATGTGACGAAACTTACGGTGTCTCATTCTTTTCACAGAAACTTTCAATTTGCCGTGGCGCGCAAGACACTCGGACGTATCGAGGAAAGAAACGCCGTTTCCTTATACGAACAACGTCAGGCTTTCAGTTCACTGAGAGCGATAAGAGCTGGTAAAAGAATCGGCAGCGTACGGACGGGTCATCGCGTGCGCGATTACTGTCCCGGAACTGTGCCCCAAATCTCGTCTTCTATGCAGAACACAAAGCCCAATTCTAAAATACAAATATATCAAGTAAGTTTACTTTTAGTTGTCTGTAAATAACAGCTGCAGTGCCAACAACGTAATTGTTTTAAAAATAATAAAATATCAATTTGTATAACTTTAGGATGACATACCTGGAGAAATGAAGGGTTCAAGTATATTAGATCACGTACCTATAGAAGATACGGTACATAAGGAAAACACCATCAAGCCTGGACCATGGAACAGCGGAAGCAAGAGAGGTCCATTAATAGCTCCTACTGTAAAAGCGGGCTTTAAGAGTAAGAAGAAAGCTGAGATACGTCAGGTTAAAACGGCAAATTATTCTAGGAAAGCAATGAAGAAATTCCTTTATTTACTTTTAGTTCACGAAGATCGGAACGACGACATGGAGAAAATTAAATTGTTCCCAAATCACGTACCTTTTTTTGACGGTAGTAAATGTCACGACTGTTTAAGAGTGCCGGTATATGTAGCGGAGCCAATAGATCCAAATATTGTACAAAAACCACATTATCCCAAAGAGTTAGTTTATGCCGATAATGCCGACCGTAGTATGGAAGAAATTAGAGCGCAGCTCTATTTGGAAAGGTACCATTCTTTTGTTTAAAAATTAAGAAAATTATTTGGTTTATGTATGTCCTGTAAAAATATCACTTTCATGTTCTATCTATTATTATTGCATATGATAATTATACAATATGATCTTACAATACACAATATTTTTACGCAGAAGAGCGCAGTTTCTGGAAAACAAACATGAAATGTCGATGGTTTGTTTACGTGGAACCGATGGAGAATCTCAGTCCCAGCTCAATAATTACGAAAACATGTATCATCTACAAGAGATAGAAGAGCAGAAGCTCAATCAGCAAAGAAGAGAAGCCGAGATTAGTAGGCAGAGACTCCAAGCCGAGCAACAAGAGCTGCAAAGGCAGCAGTACGAGGTCGAGAGTCAGGTTTTGGAGACTCAACGGCAGGAAGCCGAGCAAAGAGAATTGGAAAGATTAGAGAACGAGAGAATTGAAGCTGAGAGACTCGAGGCGCAACGAATGGAAGCGGAATTGAATACGCAACGGAAGCTACAGTCGACGAACTTTATGCACCAGCATCACACCACGTCGTTGGCCGTTGAAACTGAGGAACACTTGCTCGGGCAGAGCCTTACTGTAAACACGAAGGAAGCTATTTCGGTCGTTCAAGGTTTGTGGCAATCCCCGGATGCGAATTCGCGCTTTCGTAGCCCACCTGTCGCATCCAGAATGGTAGATTCGAGGAACAAATTGCCGTTTGACATACACATGGATAGCTCTATGACTCAACATGCGATGTCCAGTAATAAGCATCATCAGGGATACAATTTGCAGGTTTATAATGATCAAGAGAATCATCAAAGTTATCATACGCAGCATCATAGTTACTCTGGTCAGGATCAGCACGTTGCATATGGGAATCACAATTTGCAAAACAGTTATCATTATCAGATGCAGGTATAGAAAGAACTTACAAAACATTCATGTTCTTCTGTTTTTGTATCAAATATATCGTATATATGTATTAGTACATCTGCGCTGCTTGTACATACATTTAGATCTAACGAGAGTTAGATCTGCAGTAATAAAAATAAAATATATATTTTCGAAGAAAGAACCTAAAATCGTGTGAACTTTTTGATTGCAGCAACATGATCATCAAGTACAGCAGCCGCATCATCGGCAGCACCATCCCCAACATCAGCACCATCAGCAGTTGATGTCACCGCATCAGCAAATGCACGCTGTGCATCATCAGCCTCTTTCTCATCCACAGCATCTACAATCGCCTCACAGCCAAATGCCGCATCATCAGCCACACATTCATCAGTCTCCGCACGGCCATCATCACCAGTCCCCGCACGGTCATCATCATCAGTCCCCGCACAATCATCACCATCAGTCTCCGCACAATCATCACCAGTCGCCACACAATCATCATCAGTCGCCACACAATCATCATCAGTCGCCGCACAATCATCATCAGTCGCCGCAAAATCATCATCAGTCGCCGCACAATCATCATCAGTCGCCGCAAAATCATCATCAGTCGCCGCACAATCATCATCAGTCGCCGCACAATCATCACCAGTCGCCGCACAATCATCACCAGTCGCCACACAATCATCATCAGTCTCCGCACAATCAACATATTTTACATTCTCAGCAACCGCAACACGTGCATCAACATATGCAACATATGCAGCATCCCGTTTACGGTAACATGTTACCCAACGATATCGGCTATCAGCAATACCCGACGTCAATGGAGGCCCCTATGCTACAGCAGAATGTAGAACCGCAGAAACAGTTACATTTCTCTCCTTACACCGATCCTGACATTGAGACGAGCAAACCGTACAGAATGCCGCCCGAGTTACCCTACATCAAATCGCCCGGGATGAATCGCAAAGATATCAAATATCTCGAAAGCGCGGAAGACAAAGAGAACGCTATCGTTGTGGATTACAATGGTCCACTAGAAGAAAATATGATACCCAAACCGGACGAGAATAATCTTTATATTGACGAAAGCTTGGGTATAACTCCTCTCTCGGCTGTTAACGAGACGTGCTTCACAGAAGCCTTTAATGCACCGTTAACGAGCTCCACGCCAATGACCAATAATTTCAAGCCATCAACCGTACAGCCGTACAAAATAAAAGATGACTTTTCAAATCAGAATATTGTATCTCAACCGTATGTATTTGTTAACTTTTAATTTATCGAAAATTATGTTGAAACATTTAATTTAAGTTTTATTTATTTATCTGCAGAATTCCAGAGGCTCCTAATGCCGAAGGTGATGATAAATTAAGCGTGATATTAGAATCTACACGAGAATATGTATCAAGCAGTTCAGGGAGCAGTAATTATACTAAAACAACTGGATTGACCTTTGCATTAACGAGAGAAGATATGATCCCTTTTAAAGAACAACCCGTGGATACAAGTATGTATTAAACATTTTTATCAGTAATGAGTATAACATATTTTTATTTATTGCAGTCGCGTATATTTTGATATAATTTTTGAAACTTACTTGTTTTGAGTTATTATTAAATAAATGATTAAATATTTTGCACAAACTTTTCATTTTATTGAAAAATATTGATGATGTTTTAACTTTACAATTTTACATAAAAGTTGTAGAAGAGGAGTCAAACGAATCTCTGTTGTCCGTGAATCAACCTTACGAACAAAAGCAGTACGCGCAAATCCAAGCTGTGCACGCTCAAAGTCCGCGTACGGTACAACGGCATGTCGATCAAATCACATCCGAGATACAGAATAATTGCGATCTCAGAAAGTCCATAAATTTAAAACTCAATGAGGAGGACAATTCAAAAAAAGTTGACATCATGGAGTGCGAGGAGCACGAACCTATGGAACAAGTGGAGGAAGAGTGTTTCGAGTTGCCGTCGAGAGATATAAATCCATTCGATAAGAACTTGATAGCTGGCCTATTGAAAAAGATAAAGTTTCCACAACCCCATCATGCAGATGGATACAAAAGAATAGATATCAATCTAAATAAGCTTGTGCCTTCTACCACGCTTACGCTTGGTCAGTATTCAATTTGTATTCGGATTCAGATTTATTGCCGTATTTATTGCCATTGTGAGATGTATTTTTGCAAGCTTTTATCTTTCGTTACTAATCTGTTTGCGCTTGTGATTGTGCAGATACCGAAGCGTATGATTTGGAAAAGTGCCTTGGGAAAGGAATGTATGGAACAGTTTTTAAAGCATCCAATTTGCAAACAGGCGAGACTGTTGCCCTTAAAATACAAAGGCCTGCTTGGGTTTGGGAATATTATATCACACGAGAGATAAGAACACGTCTTACAAATCCACACATGGTACAGTATAACATCAATATAATGTATCTCTCCATCTCGAGTCATTATTTAAATTTATGTATCATCAGCAAATCGGTCCTTCTTCTATAACATTGTAATATTCTTTTCCAGTTACGCGGTTTTATGGATGTGACGATGGCATATGTGACGAACAATGGAAGTATACTAGTTTCAGAATACTCTAAATTCGGAACATTATTAGAAGTGACGAATCAGATAAAAATTGCCACTGGCAAGCCTCTGATGGAAACTTTAACTATTTTCTTTACAATTGAAATGATTCAAATCATAGAGTACTTACATAAATGCCAAATAATACACGGGGACATAAAGCCAGATAATTTCTTATTAATGCGACCGTTAGTATTACTTCTTTTTCTAGTGACTTTTTTTTTTAGATAAACAACACAGTTATTGATTATCTAATATATGTACTGCGATATGTAATTATTTTTTATGTTAATTTTATACAAGATAGAAAATGGTTGAAAACATTTTTATTAACAACTATTTCCGAAAATTTGTCAATTTTACTTTTCTTAAAGAAAAGTATTTTCTTTAAGATTTAATAATATAAATCATCATACAAGACAAAAAGATTACCTCAAATTTGCAAATAAAAGGATTTTCATACAATATTAATTAACAATACTTATTATATATACATATATATGTATATATAATATATATATATATATAAATATGTATATATATACATATTTATATATATTATTATATATATACATATTTATATATATAATTATATATGTATATATATAATTATATATACATATTAATTAACAATACTTATTATATAACTTAACAATACAAATCATTCTAATGATAAAAAGATCACCTCAAATTTGCTAATAATCGATAATTGCGTAGTTTATCCTTTTCATATTATTACTATCACATCCTTATAATCGCTTTATAAATCCTCAACAGACCTACGGAAGATGTAAGGCCAACTATACAGCTGATAGATTTCGGATGTAGCATAGACATGAAACTATTGCCAGAAAATACAACGTTTACGCAAGTTATAAAAACGGAAGATTTCACTTGTATCGAGATGCAAACTGGAAGACCATGGACATATCAGACTGATTTATATTGTCTAGCGGCGACCAGTCATTGTTTACTGTTTGGCAATTACATGAGAGTATCTAACGTGAGCGGCCGTTGGTTTATTTCCTCGAAATTACCAAGGTATATACGAGTAATAAGCACACAATGAATCCCGAAGAGTCGTATTTATTGCAGGAATAATTTTACTGTGCATTAAAATTACCTTAACTTTTTTAAAATAACCTTTTTTTTACAGGTACGCTAAGAAAGCTGCTTGGGAACAATTTTTCACGGAGCTGTTAAATATTGAGTCGTGTGAGAAAATGCCCGATCTGGCGAAATTGAGGAATATGATGGAGGAGACACTGGCGATAATGCCAGAGGTGCATGCGAAATTTCGGACTTTAGTCAACATCCTCAACAAACGATAACGCTTGCTGTATCCGATGATATGTCCCAATGTGTGCACATATTTAGCAAAGAACCAACGTGTAATAAGGAACTTTAATGTTATTGTGCTATTTATTATAAAGAAGTTAATACTACAGTGAGATAAAGTATATGTATCTACACAGTTATAATACATGAGAATGCACTTTACGGCCTGCTTCGTGGAGGCTTTATCGATATTCGTTGCTTGCACATAATCAACATTATTAGGACCATTGTGCAACGAGTCTAACCCCTCCAAAAATTGTTTCAGAAACTTACAGAGAGATATGCGGAAGATTTATACACGGTAGAGATTTTGGAAATGTACTTGTTATCTCTCAAACAGCGTATTGCGCTCGCTACGCAAGTTACGTACGAATGGTGTTGTATGATATAATGATTAAAACAGGAAAAGCCACAGAAAAATTTGAATCTGTAAAAAATGAATAGTACAATATGCGTGTGATACAGTATAGATCCAATTTGCAAGATGGTATGCAGAAGTGCATGCATAATACTGAGTACTTGAGTACCTTGTATAGATAATTAATGTATATGTAAACATTGTATATTTAAAATAGATCTTGACCTTAAGCCGTTTGATTCCTGTTGTCAAAGGGTCATCTTGCTTTCCAATATTCTTCGAAATGTACGAAAAAAATATACCGTGTCAATGATGTTAACCGATTATTTTAAACATTCTTCCCAAATACACCATTACTCATGCAGAGCAGTATAATTTTATTGCAAAAAAACGAAAAAAAAAAAACGGCGGCCACACACATGACCAACGTGTATTATGTAAGCGATGCAGGTTTTAATTTTGATATGTGCAGGCTTATTTTCGAGTGTCCACTAAACAGGCCTTTTTATGTAGTATACGTTTAAGTTAAGACTTCCTAAAATATATGCGTATGTGTATGACACAATCGACGGAAGCGTTGGAGGTTGCGTTTCGATCTTAGATTTTATAAAGATACGCAAGAACTTTTGGTTGTCTCTTCGAATATTAATATTAAATTTAAATAATTTATTAATATTAATATTAAATTGTATATATACATACACACCGGGACCAGTGTATGTGTACGTTTAAATAAACCGTAATCGACAACCTATCGTTCTTGTTTAAAAATTTATGAGAATATGCCTTATTTTAACGGTGTAATTTAACGAACAAGAATGATGTTCAGATAAGAGCCCGCGTACAAAGCTTTAAGATTAAAAAACAGTTGAGACATTGTAAGATACATTTATTAAAATCGATAACACCAAGATACAGATGTATATATATTTCGATTTACCTTTGATTGCTAAAAAAAAAAAAAATCTTGTTACAAGGTATTGCGCTCGCTACGCAAGTTACGAAGGAATGGTGTTGTATATAATGATATGTATGATAGTGAAATATTCAGTCAACGTTAATTTTGAGCATGTATACGATTTTTATTTGCATATCCATTTATCTGCATATATCCGTAGATACATATATGAGACCTACAATTTTAACGCCGGGTTCCCAACGGCCCGTTAAAAGAGATTTTTTTCTGGGCAAAGTTACTCTTTGTTTTGTCTTTGCCTTCCGATGGGTGGTGATCGCTTATTTAAGTATAACTCTAAATCGATTAAAACCGATTTAGAGTTATACTATTGTTCTGGATGGATTTGAACCTGGGCCTTCAGCACAGAAAGCCGACGCGCAGCTCTCGCGCCATTATCACCATAAAATTATTATTATTATTATTATATATTTGTCGTGTAATTAGAATTGCTTGGAAAACAGTTAATTTTTATAAGCTTACATTTTACTTACATCAAAACTTAATTTTTTTTTCGACAAAGTTATACCGATGTAAAAGTTTGGCAATTCATTATCTTCCAGTAAAGTCTTCAAGGAAAATTCGAATTTCAATGATGACATTTAGCAGAGTTTATAGTTGCTGTTATTGTTTAGTTATAGCTGTATATAAAAAATTAAACAGTTACAGCAAATGAACAGCAGTTGGATACAGCAGAAATACATGCAGCCGATGATTCTGTACAGAAAAATGCTAAACTGCCGTAATAGAAACGGAATCCACAACAGAAAGAAAAGAAGAATGCTCATTATAATTGCAATAAATTAGACGTTGGATCGATGCTCTCTGTGATATCTAAACGTACTTACATATTTTATTTAGAGCGCGGCACACGTAAGAAAGCACGTTAGCATTTATTAGTTATGCTTTCTTATATGTATATATTCACGCACTTCCTTTTTTTTCTATCTTTAAATCTACTCAAATATGCTTTATTTTAATCGCTGATTATTTAAAGAACGCAGTTAAATAACAGAATTTTCTTTTCATTTCTCGTTTATAAAAATGGAAGGTGCGAACACACGATAGCGCTGTGATAGACATTTAATGGAAGTACGGGCTGAATAATAGATATCGTTGATGAAATGATTTACCAGACATCCTTACATGCGATTCCTGTCCTGTACTTCACGGGCAGAAGACTTGATAGTTCTCGAAGATTCTTGGTTAGTCAAGTATTGCTGAGAAAATCAGTATAAGCTGACAAAGATAATATTGACTCGCTGCAATCTTTATTTAGCATGATGATTTTTCGAATATTTGATTCTCAGTTTATTCATCTAATATGAAAATAATTCAATGCCATTGTAAGTTAGACATTTAGTAATTAAATATAATAATTTATAATATATTAATTAAATATAAAATACAAATCATAATAAGTCTATCTTTTTTTTAATTATGCTTTAAAATCTTTAAATAAAACAAAACATACAAAATGTTAAAATCAATAAAAGTTGTAGATTTTTGAAGATAAAAATACAGGAAAATGTCAAAATTATAATTTTAAAGTAACGAATCTTGAAAAAATATACAACTATTAGTTCATTTCCACAATTAATAATTCTAGTTAGTCTTTTTGTAATATATAGCAAAGAAAGAAAAGTAGTAATTATTAGTAATACAATGCCAATTTAATTAATTTTAATGCGGAAATAACAAGAAATATTATTGAACAGTCTGTAGATAATTTGTGAAATTGTCTAATAAAATAAACATGCTTAGTGTAATTTTAATTAATATAAATACATTTGTCTACAAATTTAAACTTCATGTAAAAAGTCACGTTATAAAATAATGACCATACATAATTGCTGAGTGCGGCAATGCAAAATTAAATCCTGCACGATAAAATAAAATAAATTATTTATATTTGACTTTTCGTTTCAGTTACAAAAATCTCTATTTTTTGTAGCGTAATTATGCTGACTGATATAGTTTCGTCCGTTTTACATACGCCTGGAAAAAAATGTAATTCAAATCAATTCATGCGTTGCATGGTGCATCTTAGGATCAGAGACAATAAGTAATGTGCACATATATATTTTCCAATTGAAAAGATATGCCCACAAAGCATACATACAAAATACATCACAAGCCGTCAATTGGTTTCGACCGTGTAGAATAATCGCTAGATTATACTAAATCAAATATATACTGAATTGTGATTTTCTGATGCCAATGTACATTATTTAATTATTACAGTGTACAAGCGCAAAAGAGATATACAATGCTGACACATTCTTTGGTATAACAATTAGATATAAGCTCGTAATTTAAGACATCATAAATAACATTTGACCATAACAATGCTCAGAGAAGCCAATTTGTACTAATTAGATATATATTATGCTTATAGAGATGCGTTTCGTCATAATTTCATCGAGATCAAATATTAATATTAATGCATAATTCTTTTTTTTTCCTTCCAGCTGATGCGAATCTTTCAATAAATATAATAACGTGCACTATTAAAGCCTATATCCTTAATTCATCATGTATTTAAATATCTTGTGTCTCATGTCTCTGTAGATTCTGAAATATTCATAATTATTTTTGCGAAATGAAGAACAGGAATATTCATTGGAGTTATTTTTGGATTTGATAAAGTACAGGTAAAATTATCACTGCCATATTTGGATTGATATCTTTATCTATGGTCTAATTGAAACATATAATCCTTGTGCTATGTATTAGAATATTAGGGGACTTCGGTTATAATATAAATTGTAAAAATGTATCTTTTTGATTCGTTTATAGCACTAATAATGTCTTCGTTTTCTGAAAAGGCCATAAATAATGATACCAATAGCCAATATATGCAATAAGAGATCTTTTTGGTAATTATTATGTAGAATATAAATCTGGTTAAATAGGCCTTCTGATGGCATTGATTAATATACGTTTTATATAATCATCATCTTATACATCAATACATACATATATATAATGTTATTTTAGGTAATTAGGTGTAAATCACGTCAAATCAATTTTAACTGGTACATCAGCGTCCATGAGCCACTACCGATAGAACGGAATTTTGATCATTAGTGCACATTACATTACAGTACACGATACATATTAAACAAATATAAAACATTAAATCGAAGTGCCTGTCTTCTCCCGCTTTATCACTCCCGATAATTGATATACATTACTTAATACAATTATTTCACGTCGTGCTGCATAAAGTGGGGGACAAGCTTTTAGCTAGACTTTACAACAATATAATTAAAGTTAAAAATTATATTATGCATACTTAAATAAATGTAAAATATTTCTACAATAAAAATTAGTGGAACCTCACAGATACCGGTTTAAAACAATGTCTCATGTTGTATATAGAAAGTAAAACTATTACGTGATGTGCAAGAACGAAAATGGTTATATATATATATAATGATTATATAAATAATAATTGTATATGTTAATAAATTGTATATCAAGAGCTGGAGAAAGTACGTCTGTTGCTTTAGAGTTAAGTCCGCCAGAAATATATTGAAGAATGATATAACTTCATTCGTATCTTTTACGAGAATTTGTAAATAAAGACTTTATTAATGCTTCATGATTTTTTTAGTGATGTATAACATTTTCGTCTTACAATAATCCTATTTATTTACGTGTATAAGATTATTTCAACTAATAAATACACCAATTGTCACTTGTTACCTCATGACCGCGACATGCGCGAAATTAAGTTGTACAAAGTGTGTTCAGATTAAAACGAAGAGCAGGAGTAAGGTCAATTCAGATCGGAGAAGGATGAAGCGGTGGACAGGTGAGCCCCAGCCCCTAGCAGCACCCACCACCCTGCGCACTACCTTGTCCACCAGTTCCTGCTAAACCTCCAGGACTTGTTGGCGAATGCTGTGGTCCAATCTTAATACCATTTGCCTGTGTGCAATTCAATTGTTACATTAGTTTAAAAACATTCCGTAGTACATGTATTTCAAAGCATGAAATACATGTTTTGTACTACGATATCTCTTTTTCTTGCATAAAAGATTTATCAGCTAAAAGTATTTATCTGCTTTAGTGTTTCCTTTTACATTATATTTATTAACATATTTATTTGTTTTTAGTGTTTTCTTTTACACTATATTTATTTATGTCTTCATTGTTTTCTGGATACATCTTTGATGCATTCATATCCAGATATATCAAAGATGTATCCAGAAAACAATGGAAACATATAAATAAATATAATGTAAAAGAAAACACTACATCAGATAAATATGTAACTGCGTATTTATCTGATATTTCTTATCTTTTCTCACATTGGATAGGAGAGATAAAAAGATAAATAACCATATATATAAGTATATAATTATATATAAGTTTATAATTATATTAAACAATAAATTAAAATATAAAAGAAAAGTAATAAAATAAGAGCATAAAATTATATAGATCGGTTTTTTTTATTTATATATAAAATATATGCAGATTAATTAAAAGATTTAATGTCATACCTCGTTATTAATGTCAAAGACGCCCTCTTGTATTTTTTCGTATATTTCTTTTGCCGTATTGATGAACGCTTCTTCTACATTGGCCGCAGTTTTAGCGCTGGTCTCCATAAAGACGAGACCGTGTTCCCGTGCAAAAGCCTCGCCTTCTTCTCTCCTAACTTCTCTTCGGCTATCCAGATCACTTTTGTTGCCGATTAACATGATAACCATATTGGAATTTGAATGTTGCCTTGCATCTTCCAGCCATGTTGTAAGATGATTAAAAGTTTCCCTACGCGTAATGTCATATACCAATAGAGCTCCGGCTGCTCCACGGTAATATGATCTTGTTATAGAACGGAATGCCTCTTGGCCTGCCTGCAAAATGTAAATTACGAAAATAATTAACAATTTATTCCTTCTAATTATAAAGAAATTAAATAGAAAGTGAAAAAATAGAATTCTCAAAATTTTTTTTTGTATCTTGACAAAACATAAAAATTGGCAAACATTAAAATAAAAAAAAATATATATAATTTTTTACAGAGAATGATTAAAAGTATCTCTTTAGATAAGAATTTAAAGCTAAATAAATTTTTTATATAAATAATATGTTAACTTAAATATTATTAATATAACTCTTAACTGCAAAGACTACAATCTTATTAATAAATATCAGTAAAATAAAGCATATGATTTTAATATATGAATAATATAAGAGAATTAAATAAATAATTACAGTGTCCCAGATCTGCAGTTTAATTTGCTTGCTATCAATGGTGATCATACGAGCGCCAAACTCGACTCCTATTGTCAAGTCATGGACTGGCTGAAATCTCTTATCCGTAAACTGAAGAAGAAGACAGGACTTTCCAACTCCTACATAAAAATAATATTATTATGTCTATATATTATACAATTGTTAAAAAATTATAATAAAAAAGTCTTATTATAATAAAAAAGTCTTATTATATATTCAATTAAACACAAAATTTTCTCGATGTAGATCTCACTTCAATACCTATACCAATATACAAGTTCTTGTATGATATATTTGCAATATTAGTTCTTATATAATTTTCTAACTTTCCACTGTTCGACATAGTAGTTTGTATTCGCAATAATTTATGAACTTTCTTACGGAAATAAAATTAAAGATGTTAATGTTTTTATTATAAGCAATAATAATGAGTATATAAGATATTTAATTACAGCAGGAATAGTTTATAAAACACAATGTATAACAGGCTATTTATAGATGTTGACATAGAAATCGACATGACAGCTCGTCAAGTCGTGCACAACTCAATCGGAATCGTATGTAACAGCAACAATAATTCGAACAGCAATATGACAGGAGACGAGATCTACTTAGAAATCTATCGCGTCAAATCTACGCTGACACGCGACGTATAAATTTCAAAGGAATGGATATGCGTAAAGAGAGTCTCGCTGTCGGAGTGGCCGCCTCCGCGAAGCGAAATTATTCTCGCGTTTTGCGAATCAGCGATATCGTCGCGCACTACGGAAACGAAAACAATGGGTCCTGTCACGGACGACGTAGAAGTGCACGGGGAGGGGGCGAAGGTCCCGTTTTCGCGGAGGTTCGCCCTGCACGCGCGCACGTCACGTTATTTACCTGTGTCCCCGATAATGATATACTTGAAGAGATACGCGTACGACATTTCGGCGATACGCGAGGCTGACGGGACGCGCGGACAATCTTTCGCAGCACCGAGAGACACACCAGGAAACAGAACTCCCTTCCTATATGACCGTCTCTTATCTCTTCTGCTCCAGCATGACGTCACGCAGGCGCTTCGGCAGGCCTCGGATCGCGTCGCGGCCCCTTCGGACTTTCCGATAACTCCGTCGCCGCCGTCGCGACACGTCGTCGCGACGTGGGTGCGACGTCGGTCGCCGATTGGTCGACGTCGCCGGAGTCGAAGGCTCGTCATGAGATCTACCGGAAAACGCGCGGCGACACGTTCGATTTTTAATTCTACATCAGTCCACATGATATATCTTTAGATTGATTAAGGATGTTTTTAATAATCTTGCCGATGTTTTTCACTTTTCACGTTTCCGCGCTAGAGAAAAAGTTACACATGACACCACATACAGGTCGATTATGACATCACATGCTTTACTTTGGCTTCTGATTGTACGAGATTCTGGGTGTCGATTGTGTATCTTGAAACGAGGTAAAAATTACAAAAATGAGCAAATTTACTAGATATTATAGCCAATGAAATTAAAAATATTCTAAAAAATTTGCTGACTTTTGTAATTTTCATTTTATTCTTTAAGATACACAATTGAGAGCCTGATATTTTTGGATACTTTTTTTTATTTCGACCTCAATCAAAACCTACTGATGCACTCAAAAATGTTAAAAATGTCAACTTTAATTGATCAAGGATGCGTTCCCATTGAGCCGAATTGACCAATCAAAACATCTCATTTTATTGCGTAATTTGCCACGCGATCCGGGATTTCATACAAAGGTAGATTCTTTTATCTGTAGAATGTCGAGTAACCTAATTGATGCGTCGCACAAGAAGTTGCGCGGCAAATGATACAATAAAATTAGACATTTTGGTTGATTAATTCGTGACGCGCGGAAGACGCGCACGTGACGCTCTAAGGCCCGTTCTACAATACGTCGTATGTCGGGTCCGTAAACCGTAAGTCGTAAGAATTGACCAATCACAATTGAATGTAAGAAGAATATTCGATTGTAATTGGTCAATTTTTGCGACTTACGGCTTACGACCCGACATACGACGTATTGTA